GAGAGAGAGAGAGAGAGAACGCGGTGGAAGTGGTATGGGTCCCGTGGAGATGGCGTGGGGGTGGGGGAAGACTTAAACATCACGACAGTGATGAGTGAAGAGTGAGAGTAAAAGACGGACAGCTTGCAATGAATCAAGAATTTCACCTACCATATTTCCTTCCTTTTTAGCCTCTTCCTCTCTCACTCTCTCTTCTTCACACACCCAATTTTCACTTTCATTTCTCTTCATCCTTTTTCACAGTAGAATAGGCTGTAGTAACAGCATAGGGGTTTGGGTTTCTTTTTGTCCTTTTTGTTCTGTTTCTTTGAGGCTTTTTCAGGCTTTTTCTCTGCTGTTTCTCAAGACTCAGACTGGGCTTGTTTGCCTTGAAATTTGTGACCAAAAAAGAATTCTCCCAATACCTGTGTCAGTTGACATAGGAGTTTTTGGGTGGGAAGATTTTTCTTCTGAGGGGTTTACGCACAGGTTTGGCTCTGCTTTTTCTATGCCATTTTTATCCCATAACTTGTCTTCTCAAGTAATGTTATACGGCATACAGCATACTGGTGTTAAGCACCAGGTGTCAACTGCATGTCATTATTTGAACATGTGGCCACCCACCAGAATAGTGTATGATGGCATTTTTCTTTTCTTACTTGGCTCTATGTTTTCCAAGGGAAAAAAATGGTAAATTTTGAGTCTTTTTAGTTTTTCCTTCGTTTTCCCTTCAAATCTGCACAAAATTTGTTTTGTCAAGGAATCTGCTAAATTTTTAAGTTGTCAAATTTCATTTTTCCAAGAAAAAAATGGAAACGTTAGAGTCTTTATGGCCCTTCGTTTTTGTTTACAAATGCGGCCAAACAAATAGTTTCTTCACATATTTGAGCAAAAATTTGAAACATTTTGTTCTCTATTATTTTTATTTTTTTATGTCTTTTACCATTCTTGAAAAATTTATTCTTATCTCGTATTTCTTCAAAACACCATTTTCATTAAATGTGTAATTAATTACCACTTCCCCCTTTTTATTGCAAGACATTTAGTGTGGAGGAAACTGAGTTCTGACAATTTTGTGCACTCAAGCTCTCTGCATTTTGGGATCTTCAGATTTTGCCTTTGCAAACACACTCTTGAGGTTTGTTAAACATTTCTACATTTGAGTCTGTAAGTTTTGACATTTTTTGGCCTTTTGGGCACAAAATTTTGTCGGTGCTCTCTATTACAAGTCCATTTTCCTTATTTGCTTTAAATTCACACACCCTTTTTAAATGTTTTCCCCACTTTTGTTATATAAGAGTGTCTATAATTTACAAAAGTATGTGTGTTTTTTTTTGCACATATACAAATATCTTAATTCTTGTTTTTGATTTTCTTTCAGGAATTTTTTTGAGAGACTTGTATAGAAATGACAGGTCCAAATTGCATGGATGAAAATGACTGTGGAAACTTCTTTGATCAAATTGATGATTTGATTGAGTTTCCTCCTGACAATGAATATGGCGATGACAACCTTGTTGAATCAGGCGATTGCAACGATTTTGCGTGCATTTTAAATGATCCCTTGCCGGATTCCGACCCCCTTTTCTTCAATAGCAAATGCAATTCTGTGTCTGATCTATCCGCAGAGCTCTCTGTTCCGGTGAGCATAAAAATTTGGTATATAATTGTCATGAATTTCCCTAAACAAGTTAAACCTTTGCTAACTGCTTGTTCAAAATTCTTGAGGCCTTTCTAACCATATGCAATCGGTGAAACTTGTCAAATCTCGTAATGTGGGACCAGTTATTAGGTTATGCAATCGGCGAAATTATTCAAATTACACACTGTGGGACCAATCATTTAGTTACGGAAGCGGTGAAATTTGTCGAATCGCATAATGTGGGACCAGTTTTTGGGTTTTGTGATTATATTGGATTCAAATTTTTTGTGGAGTCATCATATTCTCTTGGTAAGGTAGCGGCCATTAGTTGCAATGTCACGCTCATTCCTCACCCGAAATTGGTATGAAAAAGTTGGGGGGGGGGGGGGGGGGGGAATAAAAAAAACAAAAAAAAAAAAAAAAAAAAAAAAAAAACCCAAAAAATCATGGTGCTATTGAAATTAGGACTTTAGGGCTTTTAATTGATAAGAAGTGCTTATTATAATATTTGTAACGTTGTTATGCTACAATGTTGATGGTTTTCTCATTCTTGGCATTTATGCTAACACCTTTAGGCTCTTGCTGAAAGGGTGATGGATTGGTCTTTAAACATGAGATGCTGTGAGTAGCTAATAATTCATGTCAATCTTATTGCATAGTTGCTAGTGAAGTTCACGATTTCCATTTTTGAACACTTTTAGGCTCTTGCAGAAATGGTGAGGATTGGTCTTTTAACGTGAGATGCTGTGACATGAAAATTGGCCGATGCCGAATACTCTGCCTTATGTAGCCTTTTTCATGTGGAAGTGACCAAAACTTCATGCGCGCACTGTCGTGAATTAGCACACAGCACATGATACTTCATCGCATGTTTGATTGGCTAATATTGTCCATCAACAATGTCTCTGTTTCTTGATTAAATGAAATGGAGCATACTAATTCTGTTGTGACCATGATTTTGAAATAAATATACGACGTTAAATTTTACTATCATCTGCTTATTTCTCATAATCATGCTATGTTTTCTGTCGCAGTACGAGGATATCGTACAGCTGGAATGGCTTTCTACATTTATGGAGGATTCATTCTCTGGTGCGGGGATGACTCTAGGAAAGGAGAACCTTCATGTTGACAAGGAGCCATCCCACCAACAATTCCATACCTCCAGTCCCGTTTCGGTGCTAGAGAGCCTCAGCACCAGCAGTAGCAGTTCCTGCTCAGTTGGAAAGATTATGCCTCTCGACCCAAGTCAGCGTGGTCCACATTGTGCCCGGAGCAAACGTCCACGCCTTCCAACTTTCAAACCCCAAGCAGGGATTCAACTTATTTCCCCTTCATCCTCCTTTATAGAGGCCCCACAGCCATTTGCCACTCCTATCGTTTCCTCAGATTCTGAAAATTTTGCAGAATCTCAACCTATGGAAAAGATTATGAAACCGGTTAGAGCAGAGCAAAAGAAGAAAAGGAAAATTAAATCATTTGTGCCTGTTGGTCCTATGGAAGTGAATCGAAACCCTCCAGCACAAGCAGTTAGGAAATGCATGCATTGCGAGATTACGAAGACTCCACAGTGGAGGGCTGGCCCAATGGGTCCAAAATCTCTATGTAATGCTTGTGGTGTTCGCTACAAGTCAGGCCGCCTTTTCCCTGAATACCGTCCAGCTGCAAGTCCTACATTTGTTCCATTGTTGCACTCAAACTCCCACAAGAAAGTTATCGAGATGAGAACCAAGGGTGGGGCCGAAACCACTGCAATTACCTCGACCACCATCAAGTCAGAATCTTTCTCGAACGCCTCCCTGTCGTACTAGCTATGAAAGAAAGAAGTCCTTGTGCAAACTGTCGTCCTTATTAGTCTAGTATTATTGTCTGCAGTTGTTTCATTCCTATGTTCATTGGTTCTTTGTACAGAAATGTAATGTGGAGTGGGAGTAACAATAGACCGTATTATAATTCGCAGGGAGGAGGAATGAGATGAGAGAGTTCGGAAAGTCTAGTTGATAAGTCGACTTTAGGACTAGGGTGAGCTTTTAGTCTTGTTTAGATTAGTAGTTTTCTGATCAGTATTATCTATTTCTTAGTCTGTCTTGTTTACATGTCATGGAATTCTTTTTGCAGTTAATTTGTAGGAATTCGAAATGTTAAAAATCTGAATTATGTTTTATCTCTCAGCTGCTGCTGTATTTTTGTTTCTAAATCCACTTATTAAAAAAAAAAAAAAAAAAGGGTCCTTGAGGGCCCCTATTGTCCCGCCCCGTCCTATCCCTAGAGCTTTGTGAGGGAAGTAAATCGCGGGTCTCAGCAGGCTTATTGTATGCCTTTATGGAGGATAAAGCTAAAACCAGTTGAAAGAGTAGAGAAATATGCCCGAGTCTATTTTGTATAAGCTTTGATATCTGTAGAATCACCAAGGAGGCGAAATTGAGCTTTAAAAAGATTGGAAAGATTGCCAATCTATCTATAACTCTTATATATGCTGCTACAATGATTATGAGAAGATGACTTTAGAGAAGAATATGGACGAAGCTGCACAGGCTCCTCACAAACAAAGGAGGTGGGCGTTTTTGGGGTAACTTTTTAATGAATGAGACTCACCTCATGTGAGAGGCCCTGTACAAGTCCTGTGAAATGGGGCATGTACACCTACTTATATACGAAGAATATAATGTAATAATTTCAGCCTTAAAATGAAAAACTAACATGATATAGAAAAGAAAAAACAATAACACTGGTAATTTGATGTGGTTTGATAACTTACCTACATTCTACTGTACAGCCCCTTAGTTAAAGAGATCACAAACACAAATGGACTTGAACAAAAAAAAAAAAAAAAAAAAAAAGAAGAAAAGAAAAGAAGAAAAACTCCCTAAATCACTTCTTATACTTATTTAGCAAGCACTTGAAGTTGTTGAACTCCCTCCATAACTGCAAATCTTCTTTTTCCAAAGAACACGGTGACTTCTCCTTGAGGTCACATGATTTGAAAACAATTGGAAAATTTTTATTTATAACCAAGAACCAAATACCACGAAGCTTCCCTCTAAGCCGTTAGATTTGTCACTCCATAGTTTAAAATGTAAGGCTTAGAAAAATTACGAATAATTTTGTAATAAAACTCAATGATCTTTTTCCTCACTAAAGCCACATTTTTCAATGAAAGAGCTCTCATTTTATTCACAAGTTTTGTGCACATCACTTGAGAAACGATAATGTATGAAGATAATGATAGGTTGTAAAAGATTTGGTTTCAAAAAATAAATTGTAAAAAAAAAAAATGAAGATACAGTTGTCTTTCAACATGACGAAACCAGTTTTCTAAAATCGAGAAATTCCTTGTTCAAATTTATCTTCACGGATTTTTAATTCTAATATCATATTTTTTTTGTTATGAAAAAATACATTTAAAACCCAGTTAAGATCATAAGATATATTAAACAATTTGTATTATGCCCTGTTTGGTGCTCATTGTTTTAAAATTCTTTTTACTACAAAATCATTTTTAACCATACATTCACACAATAAAATATTTACCACGTAAATCCAAAAATTTTCCATATTTTTTAACCACACATTCTTCTAAAAATAATATTTAAAACTCTTTTTTTTCTCTTTTTTTTTTATTTAATAATGGGCACCAAACGGGGCATATATAATGCTTCTTTATATTGTACAATGGTAATTGACCCACTAGTTAAATTTGAGATTAAATTTCAATAATCTTGAAAATTAATTAGGATAATATGTGAGGCCTTGTAACTTTCATGACTATCTAGATATCATTTCTACCTTCTAATAAAAAGGGGAAGAAGGTCTACTATTCATGCAATAGTAAATGAATCCAATTGTACTATGCATGATGTCATTTTTTATTTTCCATCTTGTTTATGTCAAATAAATGTTCTTCTACACATCATCCCACTAGCATTAAAAAATTAATTATGTTAAACAAATGTTCTTTCACACATTATCCCTCTAGCATTAAAAAAATAATAATAATTTTAATAAATATAAACTGTCATGCTCAAAAAAAAAAAACCTCTTCGCAAATAAGTTTTAAAAAAATAATTATGTCAAACAAATGTTCTTTCATACATCATGCTACTAGCATTAAAAAAAAATTTAGTAAATATAAATTGCCATGAGCAAAAAAAAAAAAAAAAAAAAAAAAAACTCTCCACATAGTACGAAGAGATGGCATACCATATGTGGAGTAAAAAAGGAAGAAAAAACTCTCCACATAGTGCGGAGAGATGACAAACCAAGTGCAGAGAGTTGGCAAACTCTCCGTACAGTGCGAAGTAAAAAAAAAATCTCTTCGCACAGTGCGGAGAGATGACAAACACCATGGAAAAACTCTCCACATGGTGCGGAGAGATAGCATTCTGTGCGGATACTGTCCTCACAAAGTGTAGACTCTCAGTATAGTGCGAAGTTAAAAATAAAAAAAAATCTCTCCACACAGTGACTGTCACGTGCGTTACACAAATTTTGCATTTATCGTATTTTTGTCAGTGTATGAATTTTAATTTTTTGGAAATTTTTTGAAACAATATCTAGAAATATTTCCATGATATAAGAAAATAATTGTAAATTATTTTTATAATTGCATAACAGTATTGTCTCATCTAGAAAAAATATACTTGTATAATTTTATATTTGAATAAGAAATATTCGAGATTATACAAATTATTTTGCTTATATTCTTTGATAGTATTGATATGATTGAGTTGAATGTAAAGATTATATTTTTAAATTTTGTGTAATTCAATATTGGAAAATTGAAGATTGAGCATCATATTCATATGCATTTATATTTTGTGCTTCATATATATATATATATTTAATATTTATTTTATACTTATGTTGAAAAAATAAAAATTTGAAAATTTTTTTAAATTCAATTTGGTAAGTGAATGTACGGTGTTCTATATAAAAAACAGTAAGTTGCAAATACGGTAGGCAGCATATACGGTAAGCTGCAAATATGGTAAGGTGAAAATACGGTTAGTTGTTTGCAAATACGGTACGGTGCAAATACGGTAAGTTGTTTGCAAATACGGTAGGCTGCAAATACGGTAAGTTGTATATAAGGTAAGCTGCCTGCAAATATGGTAAGCTAAATATATGAATTTATAATTTGTTATAAATGTATAAAATTTATTTAATATTGAATTTCTTAAATATTAAACGTTGTAATTCAATATTGTTTGCTTTTTTATAATTGTATTTTCGAGAATTAAAAAAAAAAGTGGTTATGAAATTGCTAATTTTTAAATGTGTTTTTTTGTTGAAGATAAAAATGATTTTTTTATGTTATTTGTAAAAAAAAAATTGTAATTTTATTAGTGTAATAAGAAGATTTATTATGCATTTTTATTTTTTGCATTTTGTGAAAAAATTTTGTTTATGGTGATTGACAAATATTCTTGCACACACGCATCATGTCAACAACATTTAAAAATTAATAATAATTTTAGTATATATAAACTCCATAAGATAAAAAAAAAAAGATTTCGCAAAGTACGGAGAGATGACAAACTATCTCATCTCTCCGCAGAGTGTGAAGAGAAAAACAAGAACTCTTAGGACTTTATCTGCAAGTTTCAAGAGACATTTTCTCAAACAACTTTTGAGCAATGCATTGAACACTTTAATTCTTGGCCTACAACTCAAAATTATAATTTCATTGAAAATTGTATCCGCTTTTAATGTCCAATAACTGTTATCAAAAAAGTGTAAAATATTGAATTTGAGTGGTACTTTAGAGCCTCCATTTGTGAAAGCAATGTCATGATACTATCAATATCCCCTTCTTTGTACAACTCACATATTGTTTCATTGTATGAATCACGAGAAATCTCCTTTCCAATACTGTAAATATGATTTGTATGCTCAGAAGTTGAGATGTAATTGGAATTTGAAGAAAACATAATTGATTTTAAGCCCTGTTTTTTGACTCTATTTTGTTGTATATATGAAAAATTTACAATCTTGAAATTTGACCTGTAATTAAGGAATTTGAGAAAAACTCTCCGCACTGTGCGGAGAGTTTTTTATTATTCCACACTATGCGGAGAGTTTGCCAACTCTCTACACATGGTTCAACTCTCTCCGCACTATGCGTAGATATTTTTTTTCTCTTCACACATGGTTCAACTCTCTACGCACTGTGCGAAGAGTTTTGCCATGGTGCGGACCAACTCTCCGCGCTGTACGAAGATATTAACTCTTTTCGCACAATGCGGAGAGTTTTCTTTGCTTTCCATACTGTATTGTGCGGAGAGTTGGTTTGTCATCTCTCCGCACTGTGCGGAGAGGTTTTTTTCTCTCCGCACCTTTTTTATTTTTTATTTTTACTCCGTACTTGGTTCAACTCTTTCCACACCGTGCGGAGAGTTTTTTTTTTTTTCAATTTTTCAATATTGAATTATACAAAATTTAGATATATAATCTTTACATTCAATTCAATCATATCAACACTATCAAAGAATACAAACAAAATAGTTTGTATATTTCTTATTCAAGTATGAAATATACAAGCATATTTTTTCTAAATAACATATTATTATACAATTGTAAAAATAATTTACAATTATTTTCTTATATCATGGAAATATTTTTAGATGTTGCTTCAAAAACTTTCCAAAAAAAAAAAACTAAAATTCATACACTAATAAAAATAAGATAAATACAAAATTCGTGTAACGCACGTGATAGCAACTAGTATATAATAAAAACATCTACCAGATGCGCATATTGTTACTTATATTTGCAACTTGAAGTTTGCAAGATTACTTGCTAAAATTCAAATTACATGCATGCTATTCAGATTGTACAATTAAGATGGTATATCTTGTTAATGTTAATCAGCCTAAATCTCAGATTTTTAATAAATGTTAGTTGGGATGACGATAAATAATTTAGTACTTTTTTATTAAATGTCTCCAATTATTTTTTAAACCATTACTATTGTGAAATTAGTAGTTCCCATTTCTGTCTAAATTTTTTTATTTTATATGCAACAACACTTGTACGTACCACCACGTCAATATCAGAGTTTTTCCACTACAGTTGACTTATGGTTGGAGCCTTCACTTTAAGCACGGTATTTTCGTGATTCCATTAACTTGTTAGAAAACAATTAAAAAAGGAAAAAATAATTAAAA